TAGAAATATAATATGAGATTTTTAGTTAGCTTTTTTATTAATTAATTTATTTATTTATTTATTTATTTTTTTATTGTAATTTCCCTTTGGGACCAATAAAGTATTTTTGAATAGAACTGAATTGAATGTAAGCCTTAATAAATTAAAAGACAGAAGTGTGGTGAGACACTGAGACTAGAGACTCTGACAGAGCTAGAATTTTATTTTATTACTCRTATTTGCATGTYTGGTTTTATTAACCTGGAGCAGCAGAAAGACAAACATGCAACTGTTTAAGTTGCAAAACAGGTCAATATAAGTTTCTTATAGCTTTTATTTTACAAGAGGCTGAGAAATAAAAATGTTTTTAACAACAAGAAGGAATTAAAGTCTGTCTGACTTTATTAAAGTGATGAAGCTGAAGGAAATAATAATAAAATAAAACAAGTCTTACCGTTTTCAGCTGGAGTTCTGCTTTAAAACCCAGAGTGGAATCATTAATTTTGTCCTAAACTTGGAACTTGGTGCTGAGGTTAAAACTGGTRTTCTGTGTCGAGAGGCTGAGAGGAAAATGTAAAAATACCTGAAWATAATCTGATCACAGTTCATGGTTTTGCATAAATTTTGCCACCAGAGAAGAAGGAAGTTTAGAGACAGGATGTGATGTTTATAGTTTAAATAAAATATAGTGAAAATAAACACTTATTGTTAAATATCCCATTTCACATGTATCAACACCACTTTTTGACTTGTGCGTACAGCAGTTTTGTTATTTTATGTTCTTAATATAGTTTTGTTGGAAGTGATCATTTAAACTGCAGCTGGTGACATCCTGAGTCCTGTGATCCAGTGAGTGGCAGCTTCACGAGATGCTGCAACCTAAAGGTTTTATTCTGAGTCAAGAATGAAACGTCTCCTCCACCTGCCTCTATGTTCAGAGTTGATGGTTTCAGCAGAGCTAAAGGTCAAACTGAACTCTGCCAGTCTTACAACATTCAGCTGAAAAGAAGAACCTCACGTCTTGAAATCACTCAGTTTCTGCTCTCAGTCGTCTCGTTCGCTTCTGTCGCTTTGACTTTCTGCCTTTCAGAAAACATTAAAGACATTATTACTGATGATAAATCTATGAAACATGGATGAGGAACTGAATTATGCAACTGTGACTTTTAAAACAAATGCTGTGGCTAATCCAGGTGAGTAATATTTTTATTTCACTTTTTGGGATTATTGAAAGGTTTGTTCTGGGACTGAATCATTGTTCTTTGTATTATGTTTGGGCAAAAAGCTTCATCAAAACAATGTTTGTTTTTATTATTAAACCAATCAAATTTAGATTATTTGCTCTACGGGAAAAAACAAAACAAAGAAACACTGCTGTTTCTGAACTCGGCATCTCCAGTGTCCACCTAATGAGTTAYTGATGAGGTGATCACCTGAAGCTAAAAGTGCTGAGGTCAGCTGGATGATAAAAACAGAGCAGGAAGTAAATCAAAGATAACCGGAATAAATAAATAACTTCTCACATTTTATAAAGAGATAAAWATATTAATTTTGAGTGAGCAAAAGAAGGGTTACACTTTTCTGTTGTGCTCTGCGAATAAATGTTTTAGATGTCAAGATTTTTATTCTAGAAGAAACATCAGTARCTTATAGAATAAAACAGAAATGATTATTTTACTCAATGTTATATATAAAATAATCTGTAAACAAATCAACCAAACTGTTAACCTACTGATAATCTCTGAACTGATTTCTGCCATCAGTGTGGATGTATTAATGGTCCTCCAAAATAAAATATTCTAACATGTTATAAMTTCAMTTTATCAGGACATCCTGTTGTTTTAATCTTTAACGTTCTGTTCCAACTACACCCTGCGTTGTTTCCCACTAATAACCAGAAGAATAAAGTTGTGCTGGAATATGAGACAAACTGAGACAGATTATAAATAAATAAGTGTRAGAGGATTTCCTGGCTGAGGGTCATGTGAGTGTATTCAGTCTAAAGGAGCATTGCACCGTTATGAAACTCTGAAATGACTCATGTCCTGGAACATGGATTTCTCCTTTTTTTGTGGCGCCTGCTGATGCAACAAACGTACTCAGTGTCAGAGCTGAAAGAAAGAAGTGATTCTCTGAAGGTGGAACAGACTCCTCATCGTCAAACATGTCAAACCCCATGTTCAGTTTCAGCTTCATGGAGGACAGACATTTACTGAGACTCTGGTTAAAGAAAAGCTTTTAAAATTTAAACAGAAATTAAAATCTGTATTAGTTCATGATCTCAACCTTTAACCTCTTTTACAGAGCAAAGGACATTTTTTACAGGTTTGTTCAATTTAATGTTAAAAATGTCAACATTTAAAAAAA